GGATCAGAATTCAGGGCAGGGGCAATTTCAGCACCACAGTGCCCTGTCCTTGCTCACGTCTGCTCTCTGACCTGTCACCACACTTCACTTGTGCTTAATTTTAAATGCAGGTATGAATTATCCTGCTGCCAGAAATGGGATTGCTGATATATTTGTGCTAATTCCCACAAGTAGGTCTGAATAGAAAGAAGACTGCCACAAAATGCTAGATTTATTTTCCAAAGTGACATGTGCATGGTTAAATTACATTTATGTTATACATCTGTTTTTATCTGTCTATTTTTTCTTTCTGTAAAAAAAATCAGTGCTGTGGGATTGTAAAATAAATATTTACTTGAAATATGTAGAGGAGGTTATATAAATTGGGTTATATTGACATTGCTGATCTGTTTTATATTAATATTTATGCTATATGGTTTGTTACAAGTGAATTGAATTATAAATACTCTGTTTCTTAAAGCAAAGTCTATTTAATAGCAAGCATTGAGGTAATTTTTCTGGCATGATATTTCATGGAAATCTTGTTTTTAACCAATCTAGCAGTTTTTGGTGCACAGGTCTACTAGAAATTTCTGTATTTCAAAAAGTGATATGGAAATTTCGTAGCATATTGGAGCCTGATGTACCTGTAAAAAAAAAAAAAGCAGGTATCTAGGGCAAAAGGGACTTTCAGGAATCAACCTTGGTCAGGTAATTCAGTTGTGGCATATCTTTCATAAAAGCAATGAGGAATCTCAGTAAGTTAATAAGCTTGCAAGTCATCAGATTTTCCACGTGCAGTCATGTCCTGTAAGTGCAATAGAATGTATTAATAGTACTCCAATGTAACATTTTCCAAGTGTTTTGTAGTAACACTGGTTGGGTCATGTACTTCTAACAAGCGCTAACATTCCTTGGGGAAGACTCAGGGTTTGAAGTGCCTTATACTACCATAAAATGCGGAATAATCAGATCTGTGAAGGGCAGGCTACTGTGAACCTGGCAGGAATATATGACCCTTGTGTATTGTGTAGCCGGCATTTCCTCTCTTTCTATGATGGACTGGACAAAATTATTTTGAAGTATGTGAGTTGTAAACATGTAGCAGAACGTAACTTTACATAAAATTCGAATTTTCAACTTAACACATGACTGTGGTGGGTTCTGGGAACAGAAAAGAACTGGAACTGCTGCTCTCACCCCAAAATCTTTGCCCAGTATCCTTTCCTCCGCTTGTGTTTGTTTTCAGTGGCACCTGGCTCCCCATTCAGTTGTTGGACCCTCGGGGAACATTCTTTGTCCCAAGGTATGGAGAAGGTGACAATGAGATGCCACACAAATGATTCTCATGGATTAGTGTTTTGACAAGGACATCCTAGAGTAGGAACCTGACAGCTGGCTGGGTCTGAAGAATAATTGTGTCTAGATAACATTTGATTAGTCTGCACACTGTTATTTGAGAAAAGACAAATCCATAGTTGAGAGATGCTGTGCGTTCTCATACAATCTTAGTTAAGAGAAATTCCTGTTGGAGGTAATGTCTTCCCACTGAGTGGACCACAGGGGCAAGGTGCACTCTTCCTTTTCTAAGAACTGTTTCTATTTCACAGTGGCTTATGTTTTTAATTGGTAACAGTATAACCTGCCTGTCAATATAGCTACTAGCCAATGCCACCACAAATGTTGGAACGTATTCCTTAGTATCCCAAAAACATGTTTGTATTTCATCCCCAGACTCACTCTGAAGTCTCACCCTGTCTGGATATATACCCCAAGTTTGACACAGCCCCTTGCTGCAGGGATGCTCGATAAATCCTTACAGGTAGACATAATTCCTGCTTTGTCTGCAGTTAAGAATGCTTCTGGGCAAGGCTGCTTGTGAAAGTGTATATCTGCAGTTTCACATCTCCTCTGATTGTATGTCATGGCAGTCTGTTGTCACCTGTCCTGATGTAGTTCTTGAGCTCTGCAACAGCAGGTCATCTCGTCCCATTTTATTACGAGATGCTGCTCAGAGCCCTTGAACTACAAAACCTTTTCAGTCAGGGTCTGAAATATTTTGTTCTGTAAAGAGCTTCACACATACACTTATATCCTACATATGATTTACGAGACCAACTTATGCTTTACAGACTGCATGAGCTTCCAAGTATAATTTAATATGGAAAAATTAATTGATGAAACTATATGCAAGGAATGAAATCTGATTTAAGTTAATATCACGATCCACGATTATGATGGGCAGCCAGACCTGTCCCACTCCACCCAGAGAGCGGGGCAGGTGAGGGCAGCATTGCACACTGGGGGCCTGGGACGGGCTGAGAACAAGCTGGGAACTTGAGTCACGGTGAGAAGCACATCGTGGGGGGAAAGGGAGTGCGTGGTCAGGGCCCTTGCAGACACCATTGAACTGATGTTTGGTTAAACCTCGAGGGCTTGGTTTGCTCAAGGGTGATCTAACCAGTCATTTTTAATCACCTGTGGTAGGTAATGGCTAATACGTAGTAACAATTTTTCCCTTTTTTATGCATTTGAGAACATTTTGAAATTAAACTTCCTCGCTTCTATTATATCTTTTTATTTTGCGTGGAATGATTATTTGCTGTTATCCTGAATATGCAAATGCCACATTCGAGATACTCTGTGCACTTGTAAATTCAGCAGGCATTTTCTTGGCACCTCAATATTCCATTGATGCAGCTGGTACTTTACACTTTTCATTTAAAAAACCCTATATCTTGCCAAATTACATTAAGTCTAATTTGACCTTTACCTCTGTACAGCTAAAAGTGGTGCTATAACCACCTTTTCCCTGTCCAGTGGTAGGAATGATTGTAGAACAAAGCAAATGCATAGCGTGCTCAAAGGTCTCAGATTTACATCTCTCAATATCAAAGAGCTAATAATAAGGAACTAATTCCTTTTTCATGAGTAGTAGCTCTTCACTTGGGCTATAGATCAAGAAAATAATCATGTTCAGAAAGTTGGAGTACTTACGACCCAATTTATATCTCAGGGATGCAGGTGAAGAGTAGAGAGTGGCCTTGAAAGGGCAGAAGCTTTGTAAGAGGAGCAGTTGGTAACAGAGGACAGATTTGGGCAAGGATGAGAGAAAGGGGAAATGTCATTAAAAAAAAGCATAGCAATGCAGTTAGACAAAGCTTTATTTGATGTAATCTGGGTTGCTGGCCTCCTGAAAAACTGCTCCTATAGCTTGCTGCCCACCATGCTGTGGCAAATCTGCTCTCACTGTACAGGGGTGCGTATTGTTATCCCATACAGCTGGCATTGGAAATTAATTGCTTTAATTCTGCAGCTGAACCTGCAACATCTCTGTATGTTTAAAACTGATAGCCTGCGGAAAGGGTGCTGAGGTAGCCCAGAAGGGAAAGTGGAGCAGTCCTGAACTTTGCAGCAAGTCCTTGTGAGAGATTAGTGTCCATCTTGGTGACCGTTTAAGTTCAGAGAAAAGATACGCTTCACAGTTGAGCACTGCACTGGGACTGCAGCCATGACCCAAACTGGAGGCATGTGCATCTATGCAGTGAAGCAACCCTGACTGCCCTGTGCCACACAGGAGGGTGCCTGTGTCGGCTCATGTGCATAGGCTGAGACTGGAGTTCCTTCATCTGTCCAGTAAACCAAAGCCTATCACAACTTGATTCAAAGAACTCCTAAATAAATGAGCCGTTCGGCTGATGTCAGTAGCATTTCTGGTCTCCCTCCCATTCCTCAGCATCCTTGTGTCCCCAGAGAATATGATCAAGCACAGGAGACTGCAACAATTGTGGGCTGGAGATTATGTAGCATCAGGCACAGCCTTGAGGAGCCATGTTTGCTGACATTAAGTTGACTACAGCTTTACGGTCATTTTACACATGACAGCGTGTCAGCTGCGTAAACCTTGCTGGAAGAGATTGCCTATGACTAGCTGCTGTGAAGTTGAAATTGTCTGTGCCTACGTGGACTGAAAATCATGGCTGTTGTTTGCTAGTCCCTGCAATGTCTCAAGATTCTTTTCTAATTCAATGTAATTTTGTAGTGGAGACAAGGCACTAAGGGGGTTCATGATGCAGGTGTTTGCCAGACCCCCACTTCATAAGTGGCTCCCATCACCCCCCGTAATTTCAGTAAAATTTATTCCAAGGGAAATCTGTGCCATTGCAGAGGGATGTATTACTCACGATCACTTGGGGTAACAGAAGTGAGCTCCAACTGATGTGATCTCTGTGAATTAAGGTACCTTTTAGCATAACTGGGGTAGAATTTGAGCCCATGGATTCCTGTGCTTTTGGTGTAACTACACAGATATTGATGGATGTGCTAGTCTGCACCTTGAACCAAAGCAATTTAATAAATAATGATTATTCCTGTTCTCATTTTTCAGACTTAACAAAGCTATATAAAGCTTGTGGTGTAGTTAAACAACAGAATATTTTGTGTATGGCCTTTGAACAAAATTTTCTGTACAAATCAGCTATATTTTGCTTTAAATTAGGATACAAAAACTGAAAATGTTTTGGCCTATTCTTTTTTACCAAAAGCCTCAAGATTTCCTGTAAGTTCTGTAACTTGCCCACTCAGTGTGTCACAAGAAAAACAGAAATGCTTTAAGTTTTTGTGACATTCTGTTTCATGTGACTTGAAGTACACCAAAGATTGGGATAAACAAACTTTATGTAACGCCACATCCTAGTACAGAACATTTTATAAGGGAAAAGGAATAAAGACTCCCACTGAAAAGCTGCTGGTGTCAAATAGTCATTTATTCTGCTGTTGACTTGCCCCAGTCTAAATGAACAGGGGCTTCGCTACCAACAGGAAACAATATTCCAACAAATGCTTGTGAAACCCCATATAATTCTTGTCACATCAAAAACCTATGTGGAACTGTGTGCTTTTGGCTTTAGTGTTCTTTTTTTTCTCACACATACAGAAACAACAAATGAGGAAAATATTTATGCTTATCAAGAAAGAAGACTACTTTTAACAAACATCTTTCTGCAGCATATCAATGAATCTTAAACTGCTTGTCTGAAATTTGGGTGAACTTCAGGGTTGATGTCACATATCGTGCTCAAAAGCTTTTTCATCATGTTCTCCATGTTCTTGTGGTAGCTGCTAGTGAGGTTTCGGACAGCTTCTTTTGTTTGCTCTTCTATTTTAGCAGAGAGGTTACCTTGGGAGCCCATCACCTGAAAAGCAGAAGTCCTCTGAGCAAAATAAAGGGTTATTTGCCTATGTTTATTGTACTTTTCTTCACCTTCTAACATGAACATAACACAAACATGTCACACTGCTTCCTAACAGTAAGGGTATGATCTAGGTTGAACTGTATGTACAAAAGCAGGATTAGAGGGAACTCTTTCATATGCTCATTAGCAATGAGAATCTCCCCACATAATGAAAGTGTCCCAGCTCACTGTGGGAACAACATAGTACATGTTTTGTCTTTTATATTGCTAATTTTAATTTGTTTTCTATTTTAATGACTAGTCAACTAAGTTCTATCACCAGTGTGGTTCATTTGGCCTCACTGAGAATGAACGTGAGCGCGGCTAAGGAGCAAAACATGGGAAAGCCTTCCTGACAGTGCATAATTACAGTTTCAGAGTACTTGAAATGTCTTCAGCAGTTAGTGATGTATAACCCTCAACAGGCCCAGACAAGGTCTTTTAATGTTACATTTTCTTATCTGGCGAAATACCAGACAGCTTCTGGCACAGTTAATATCAGGACATTCGCTTAGAATTTAATTGACTTTAGACTTGCTGAACATTTTAGCAAGGTTATGTTATAAACAGATGCACGCGTTCCAAATCCATGACTTTGCTGCCTCCTCCCCCACTGCCCCAACATCCCTTGAATTCTTCCCTTATGTAAAAGTCCTTCAGTTACTGGCAGAGAAATCAGTTTCCAGCTAAACAGTTCCATGGGGAAGAGCAGAAGACAGCTCTGCATGCTGACAGAGGAAGAAAGGAATAAATAACATATTCTTCTTGTTCCTGCCATAGTTCTCTGGGATGGACTAGCAGCTGAAACTAACCTGCAGTGTTAGTGGGCTACCCTGAGGATGACCAGAAACAAGGGAGGAGTCTTTCATTAGCTTTATTTTTCCATGTCATTTCAGCCCAACTTAGTCCTTAAAAAGAATGAAAACCATCTGAGTTAAGATCTTTTGCACAAATCACCTTTGCAATTTTCTTTATCCACACCTGGCAACTTAGTAAGAAGTTTGTCCATAATGTAGAAGTAAAACAATTTCTGATTTGGAAGAAATACAGAACGTAGACGTAATTGTAAATATCAGGAAAAGATTATAGTTTTCCATAGTAACTATTTTTAGCTGACATTTTATTTTAGCTTTTAGACGAGTTGAAAGGGTCTCATGTGGGAAAGATCGTACAATGTAGACCAGATTTATGAAGCTGATATTTTCCACTGGGGAAAATACCTTTCTAGAGATCCCAGATGGCTGCATGTTATCCAGCTACTAAATACTTTTGGAAAACCTCAAGGAAAGCGTTACAATTTTAAGAAGAGCCTCTGTAAACTAGGAACTTGCTCTCTCAGTTTGTGCTAATACTGTAACTTTAGATAGTCAATTCTTACTCTTCAATATTTTTTTCCTTTTTCTGCTTCTGAATTTGAAGACCTTTTTCTTGTCAGAATGCAGACAATGCTGTGCTTAGTCTGATTTCAACTGACCCTAAAGATCTGTCCTTTGTTTTGCCCATACTGGTTTTATGCTAGTGTTGTTTCAAAGTTGATAAAACTTTACAATGACTTGGAAGCTACAAAATTCGGAACTAAGCTTCACGTCTCTGGGGTTCAGTGATCTCAGACTCTGAGTACAAACACCATGAGAAAAATTGGTTTGAGATCTGGGCTTAAATTTTGTGTATTTTGAAAACAAAAAAAGATCTTGCATATTGTCACTCTAACCTCAAATTAATCATTATTTTGTGTTGCTGCTGTGGTTTATTCTAGACTGATGTAGGACATCTCATAATATGAGAAAATTTACCCCAGTTTGGATACAGCAACACAAAGTAGTAGGAGGAGCAGCATTAAATGAAACTGTGACAAAGAATTAAAAATACTTGTGTCCAAATACCTGAGTGAGTAAACTGGGCACTGGACTTCACTCTGCACTGGCTTAGCTGGAACTCCTGACTGTCTTCCAGGCACAGGTTAATAATGATGATATTTGTCTGGGTAGATAGATGTTGGACATAATGGGGTCAGAGAATGTGAAGGAGGACTGCAAAGATCTTGTACAACATGTGTCATCTGAGGAGCAATATGTCCTCCGTCCTGCTTGTGTGAAATGCACAGTCAACAAACAGTGGTCTGTCCCTGCAGCTTTAATTTTGTTTGTGATGAAAAAACTGAGTTCACACCAAAGCAACATCTTTTCTTTTCTGCTACTTCAGACCTAAAACAAGAATTCTGTCTTGACTGAAAAGGTGAACAAATTTTAGAGGCGTTTTTACGTTATTTTAGTGTCAGTAAACATCTGAAATTGTACATATGAGGCAATTCCACCTGGCCTGGCTGTGTGACAGTGTGTCTGGGGGCTGGCAGTGTATGTTAGAGACTTTGTGTGTATATCTGATCCTAAGGCTTATGATCTCTGCTGGAAAATGTTTTATGTGAAGTGTGACTGAAATGACAGGTTTGTAAAGCAGTTTTTATTTGACCTCTTTGGCTTTTTTTTGTGGCTGCTTTTGCACATGTAGTTTCCTTGCCTTTGCACAATACAAGCATGGGAAAAAAACCAAGAACAAAAATGTGAGAGGAAGGTCAGCAAGTAAAAAGAGAACGTTTTGTTGAACCTTCACGAAAACACTAGCAAAAACTGCAAGATGGCATAAATGTATAAAATGACCTACAATTCAGATATGAAAATACCAGCTAGACTACTTTTACTATGAAATGTAGCAAAAACTCCAAAGTCTGGATAATTTCAGTTCATCAAATATGTAGTCTTGTATGCAGTCAAAAAAAGTCGGCTACTGTGGAACAGAAATGGAAAGATTTTAAATCTTTGCTTTTACCAAACCATCGGTCTTACTGAAACCTCCAGTTTCAAGACAGGAAAAAGATCTATCTGCAGCTAAAACAAAGACGACCCAAAGGTGTTTTTCCTTAAGGGAGATAAGTCCTCAAAGGACAAACATGGACCAAATACAGAATCTGGACAATTTTAAAAGTCCACAATACCTTCTATAAATGCCTGTGAAGAGGTCTAAATGAAGCATATACCCATCACAGGTGATATTTGTGGGATAGGTGTGTTCTAGAAGAATGATCAAGTTGGTTTGTAGAAGTCTCCATGTAGCACCATTTGAAGCCATTTGTTTTACCACTGGGCACATTGATGCTACAAAAGAACATGCAGGTTTCTTACTTACGTTTGTTTGCTTATTCCTAAATTCCTTCTCCCTCTGTAATCGGTAGTGGTCTACCTCAGCTATGGCTTCTTCTTTTGCCTGCTTCAGCATCTTTCCCTTTCCTAATGGGGGAAGAAACAGGGGTTTACTGCACACTTGTCACTATATCCTAATAGATTAATATCTCTAAATCAGAGGTATTTTGCATGGCATAGTAGAACAAGCAAAGCTTCAAGCAAAGTCAACAGCAGCTTTATTTGCACAAGAATGGTCAGGAGAGCCAAAGGGTACTTTTGGAGTGAAAGTCAGCCACGCAAGTACCTATCTTCTGAGACCAGCTCCTGTGTGAAAGCACACATTAAAACGAAAAGCTTGTTGGTTTGCTAACAACTGAAGTCTTTTTTGCAACTACACATTTTCTCATAACACAAATTATTTTTTTTGGTCACAGCTTGGTGTTTAAATAAATATCTCTCTTTCTTTCATCAGCAATAGTAGCAGCCAGATAGCAGATTTTAGTTGTCACTGATGGGAAAAGACGTTATTCTGTAAGATTTGCTGTATTGATTGGTTGCCAGCATCCCTTCATCCCACACCAACTGGATTCTGCTTAGAGCTGGCAGATTTTCAAAGTACTGCAAGATATGTCTTAACCACTACTAAACTGAGTTGCAACCTTCAGGCTTTGTCCTCTTCTCCTCCACCCTTTTCCCCTAACATTTGTTAAAAGCAGAGGTGAGTGATGAAGAGAAAAAGGAGGTCAATGGTATTCTCTACCCATATGTTGAAAATATGAAAGTGATTAAAAGGTCTTTTTTTCTGTTCTTTTAAAGCAGAAAAGGGATCTGTAAAGTGACATTTTAGGCTATAGTGGAGCCTTCCTCCTGAAAAGGCTTATTTACATGCTAAATTTTGTTCACTGTGAATAGTTACTTTGTCTTGGGTAAAATGCTAAGGATTTGTTAAATCAAGCCCAGGTAAGTCATAGCAGGACTGGCCATAACGTAGTTCCTGGGTCTATCTGGGATGTCACATAAAGGATAGATTTGATGGGAATGTGGTGCTTACATGGAGTAAGTGCTGAACATGGCATAACCACCCTGTGGTGATGCATCTCTGCCCATTTTTCTATGAAGTTGGGAAAGTTGCATGGATCTCCACAGGATTCTGCTACACTACCAGGGAGGAGGAGGTCACTTTCTAACTGAGGGGCCTGTGAGGCTCTTGCATTGAAAGTTGGTATGTTATATTTGACATTCCTGAGGTGATGCTGATTTTTTTGGGATCTCTTTCTGCTGTACAGCTAGAACATTAAGAGTGGGAGGGTATAAGGTTACTCCCTTTCTTAATGGGGGAATGGTGTCTGATGGCTGAAAAGCTATTGCTTAGTTGCTTGAATTAGAATATCACAAGAATGAGAGTGGAGTCTGGGCCACTGAAAAAGACATTTTGATCTGATGTATGGAACATCCATTTATTTACTTACTTATTGTAACCACCTGCTTAACATCACTGATCAATATGAACACTTTTGGAAGATTTTCAAAAAAATCTTCCAATGAAAGCATGAAAGCTAGAACCAGCACCTCTTTTGAAATCCTAAGGAACATTCTGCAAGTAAGTTAGAAATTCAAGCATTAGTATTTCTGATTTATTTTCTCCAGGCTGCTACACTGGATTGGCTTACACCTGTGCTGGTCTTCTGAAGCCTTATCAGGTGTGGCACAGAGCAATCTGCTTCCACTGAGCATGGCACAAGGAGGAAGCTGAATCCTGGGAGGAAGACTTGGTTTTGATACAGCTGAGATTCAACAAAAGCCTGGGTAAAATGCTTGATCCAGGAGTAAATTTTTTGCCCAGCTGACAGCTCCTTTTGAAGTTATTACCTGCAGATTGGTGAGTAGAAGCAGAGAGATGCCTGAAACATGAATTTCTTTTTAGAGTCTTGGTTCTTCCTGTTTGATTTTGTGGGTGTGCTTAATGCGTGATCTGAGGAGTGTGATTGTATCAAGGCTTTTTACAGCAAGGTGCAACCTAGTGAGGAACTGGGTACCTTTACTGACTCTTAGTTCATCACTGGGTTGCTCTCTTGTGTAGTTAATTATATTTCTCAGAGACCTTCTGCTACCAAGGCTCTGTACTTATGTATGATGGGGCAGATAGGCAGTTTAAAACTTAGCATGTACTTTCCTAGTGTTTGTATTTGTTTGATAAGGGCTTATTCCCTCAGCTTCTGTCCCTTACTGTATGAAATGTTGTGCACGAGCTGGGAGATATGTGTAAGAGCCTGGTGTCAGTCTGGACAACAACATTTGGAACTGGATTTAGGTCTGTATTTTTGAGTTTCTCTTATTCTCCTCTCCACATTCAGAGCTGAACAGCCTTTTATAGAGGTTTCCTCTAGAAGCGGAGCTGGGGGTGATTCTCTGGAACTGGAAGTAGGGGTGGGGGGGTGGGGGGTGAGTGACTACTATGAATCTCTGCCAATTTCACCAGCTGAGGAACTGGATCTCCATAGCAAATTAAATTATTTCAGAATCAGTGGGATTTTAATTTCAAATTCCATCTGGGGGGCCATCTGTAGTAAATATGTTGCATATTTGGCCACCAGATAGATAAATAAATCCATTTAAAAGGCACAAAAATGCAAAGAGATTAACTGTAAAAAAAACAGTTCATTTGCCTCTAACAATGTAGCTAGTGAACCAAAAAGTATATATATACATACATGTCAACTCTTGACAGTGCACTGGAGTAAGCACAATACATAGGGTGTCACTGTAGGGTGGCAGCCATTTCATTTTTCCATGATGCCTTTAGGATTGGCACAGCAGGAACCTGCTGCTTCCTATTTAATTAAGTGGAAAAGCTGTGAGTAAATTACTGCTAGTTCAACAACGTTGTGGACGGAATCGGCAACTGCCAACATATGCGATAGTGCATATGCTGCACCTGATTAAGTTAAGCAGAAACTAGAGCTTAACCTGCTGTTTCACTAGAGACAAACCAAAATTAATTAATCAATCTGTTATTAACCACTTGTCTGCTACCTTAGTTGTGCAATATGGGATTGCCTTTTCAAGGTCTTGCTGATCTTCTGGACGGGATCCTCTGCATGGGACCCTCTGCAGAGCACAGCCGAGCTGAAATCAAACCTTACACACTGAAGGGGGGCAGAGCACTGAAACTCAGTCAAAATCATGCAAAAAGAGGGCAAGAAATACAGGAGGATGGGCAAAACAACCTCACCTTATGAAATTTCTTCTAGGATCAGAAAGGTGAGGTACAGAAAGCACCAGGTTTGAAGAGACTTTTGCCCCAAAGGACATGCTTTGGGGATCAGGTTTGCTACTGCCCCTTTGTCCCCTCGTCCCATCCTTGAAGATGGGGAGCAGCAAAGCAGCTACATTATGCCTGGTTTTGTTGTCCACTGTTGTCCATGCTCGTGGTAGCTGACAACCTATAAATTTCTAGGCATCATATTAAGTTGGTCAAATCTTAACCAATTATCTGTAACAAGTCAGCCCTGTATTAGATTTTCTTACCTAACAAGTGAAGGCATGGTTAGCATGGAGAAAGGCTGTATTCTTTTTTCCTAGGTATTCCAGTGATGTTAATGACATACCTAGCTCTGGTTAGATTCAAAAGAACTGGTGAGATTTTTTTAGGTTCTAGGGATTTTTTTAGATTTTGCAAGAAAAAGACAGCAGAAAAAAAAGTTGCATTCTAATTTGTTCAAACACTACTTACTTTCCAAACCTGCCATGCTAAAATTGGCTTTCTGTTTTCAAACATATCATCTAGGCTTCTAGCTGAATTTCTGCATAGAAATGATGTCATACAAAGAAGTTGCCAAAAATTAATTACAATTTCTTTAAATAGGACCATTTCAGTTGTATTCAAGAGTGTTAAATTGTCTGCAAAATGGGATTTAGGGATGCTCATTTTGAGAAGACTATTTTGCACTTTTAATAAAATACAATGGAAGCAGCTGATCAGCATGTATAGCTTCTTCAGTAGATAAAATATGTCCTGGACATTATCCAAGAGAGCGCGATGGATATAATTCTGTTTACAATATCTTATTTTGATTAACATTTGGTTTTAATCTGATTTCCTGAAATCTTTCATCTGAGTTTTCATTTTGTTAGGCACTGGAAATTCAAGTCAAGATATTAAAATCTATAGGAAAACAAGTTTTGCTCCACGTTCATGACACATTTGTTTCCCTTGTTGTACCCCAAAGGATTTTCAGGGATTGATGTCTTGGCTCTGACAGTGCTCAGTTATTTCTGGCAACCAAATTATGTTTAAAGCAAAAATGACAGATAAAACAGTGCTGTGTCTAAAAGGCCAAAGGACTGCAGACTGTTTTGGTTTGTGGTTAATCAATTTAATAGTTTCAGCCTTGCGTGTGTGCATGTACCAACAAACTATTAATAATTTGCAGGTATCAATTACATCAGCCAATGAAACAGTAAAGATATTGCAAGCCAGGATAAAGGGTATTGAGCAAGAAGTATGAAAAGTATGTACAGAGGAGCTTTAGCACTACATTTTTACTTTGCTCCATGTCTATAATTCTATTTATTTGCTCAGTTTTCAGTTATCCAAAGTGAATCTTGCATTTCAAAGAGCTGCACACACATCAGCAAAAACTAGGCCCATTATCTGCTTATATACAACATAAGGTGTGTTCACTTTACATTTTGTTCTGCTTACGTGAGTATCAACTGTAAACACTGAGGGGTTTGCATAAGGGTAGTTTTGCTAATTGCATTTCCTTGAAAATTACTTTTGCTGGTTGTGTCCCCCAAACAATCTGCCATTCCTTCTTCTCATGTTACAGTGTAAATAGCACAGCTGGCCTCGCTGGTACAGCGGTGTTGTGCAATGTCTGTTTGCGGTGACTGAGGAGGTCGTGTGTTTGGTTTAGCAGGGACAGGACTGCATTGCGCTCGTAGGACAGGTTCACTGCTTTCCCGTGCAGCCCAGATCTGCAGAGTGCCAGGCGCTGAGCGGAAGCTGCTGATCTGAACTGGTACCAGGTGGATCTGGGCTGGTGTTTCCCAGGGTGAAGCTGTGTGTCCTTGCCTTGTTTCTCCAAATTGTGTGTGCGCTGGTTAACAAACTGCACTGGAGGCATCGGCTGCGTTTCATCTATTTCCTTTTATCTTAGTTTTTATGCTCAAACTATGCAATCCTTTATGCTGATCTAACTGCAGAATCGCTCTGGGGAAGAGACTATTTGACTTATTCTGATGTGGCACAAAAAGAACTTGTTTTGTCCTTGTCTTACAGTACTTAAGTTATGCTAGAATAGTTAGGTATCTAGGGTAGTATAGTTACTTTGCTATGAAAAATACTGAAATTAAGGACAACATGGATTTTAAATTTTTATTTTGTAGCTTTACTGTAAACCTATTGTAATGTTGAATATCATAATGATTTTCTAGGTATAATTATTCTGCTAGATCAGCTATAATGCTTGGTTTAGCACCAGGCCGGAGTAGTCCTTAAAAAACCTGAATCGGAAACATTAAGGCCTGAACTTGCTCATGTGATGCATGAGATATAAAATTCACAAGAGCTTTGCTGTTCACACCCCAGTAGAAACTGTTGGCAGTATTTAACATGTACAGAAAGATCCACCAAAGTCTTTAGGCTGTAGATGAATATCCCACGTCAGCAGTTATTTGAACTTTTAGCCCGTGATACCTAGGAATAAAATATCTTAAAAATGCTTGAGGTCTTTCATGGGATCACACAGGGCTGCTGAGGCTGGAAGGGGTCTCCAGAGTCTGCTCCAAGCCCCTGCTCAGAGCAGGCACAGCGAGGGTGGCTTGGTCAGGATGTTACCCAGGAGGGTTTTGAACGTCTCTGAAGATGGAGATCCCACTGCCTCTCTGGGCAGCTTGTTCCTGGGTTTGACCTCCCTCATAATTACAGAGTTGTTTTCTTATGTTTACATTTGTGCTATTGCCTCTTACCCTTTCAGTGGATGCCATTGAAAAGAGTCTGGCTCTGTCTTCTGTTCTTACCTCCCATCTTCCTCCAAATTCGCCCCCCCCGCCTGTTTTTATGTATGAAAAAAATTCATTTTCCTTAATTTTTATAAAGGCAAAAAAATGTTTGGCCTTAAAAGTAATAGAGACAAAAGTCATACTGATGAAATATTTTTACTCTAAATATTTTTACCCATAGCAAAATTCTTACTAGCAGTTTTTCTGTAGCTGCTGAATAGCTCCTACCAGTGTATTAGTCTTGAGATAAGTGTAGGCAGTGGTTTAATTGAGGTTTCTGACTCAGAGGGGTCTGTAAGATACTTTATCTCTAAGAAGCCCTGTGCTTATTCCAAGCACTCTGTGTGGGGCTGAGGTGATGAAAGGGGAGTGTGGTTTTTGCAGAGTAGAGTAAATGCATCTCTAACTGTGTCTGGATTCTGCAAGATGCTCATCTTTGTCATTACTTTTATGTTATGACACTTTTCATTTTTGGAGTTCCTTCATTTACAAAACCTCTTTTTAACTGGCTGTTTTAGAAAAAGTTAAGCTGATGTTTTTGGTTCTAAAAACACAACCAAACAAAATTAAAACAACAAGAAGGAAGAAACCCAACCCCTAGAGTAAAGTGTAATTACCATCAAGCTGTAACAGCTAAAAGCCTCTTTCTGCAGGCTGTGTTCAGACTGAACTGCCACCCCCTCCACTAGGCTGGGCCTTCCCAGCTCATGCACTGTCTTGCTTTTGGGAACAGTGCATTTCCTCTGCACGACGTGAAAAGGGAAGAACCATCTCACCCACAGCACCTCATTTAGCTATATAAGAGTCAAATAACTTCTTAATTATTCCTTGCTTTCAGGCTGGGAGCAGCAACCCCCAAACACCTTCTTTTTGTGAGCCTTCTGTTTCGTGAAGGTGGGAATTTATTTTTTTTTTGTCTGTTGGTGCTGCAAGGCACAGGCAGCGGCTGGGTGCTCAGAGAAGGGCTGTAAGTACCCTTCTACTTACTTTTTGTGTGCTGCTGTACAAATTAACATGTCACACTGATAATTAATGAACACAGCAGTGCTGATTTGTGTGTAGAAGGGATATAGAAACGACACAAATTATTTTTGTTTAGCTTCTATTTCTCCCTGGAAAACAAAATATATTCTGTCATCATGGTCTTGCTCCCCATGACATCATCTGCATGCATTTTAGCAGAGTCATGCAGGACAACATTGTTTTCTGCTGCTAGTTCCTAAATCAAGATAATGCCATGAAACAGTATTAATGTTTCAGCGCTACTGCAGGTCAGTGACTCCTGTGGTTGGTATCTATATTCAGGAGAACAAGGTCACTGTATTTTGCATTAAACCACTGTGAGATGAATGCAGACAATGAAGGAAATAGATAATGGAAAGACTCTTTATTATTATTATTTAAATTATTTCTTTGATTTAAATTATAAGACTCGATGCTTTCATTTTTATATCAGTTATTATTATTATTTTTGCTTATTTTTGACTAGAATAAAAATATTTGAATTCTTATTGGGTATGTACACATGCTTTGCCCTGGGCATTTAGGCATCCTGTAAACAAGATGTCTATTTTAAATTGAACATTTAATCACTTGCTGGTTACTCGCACTGTGTAGTAAGACTTACATGAATGACCTATTACAGTACTGACAGTGCTTGTGATTGTACCATGACTTTGATTACTATCGTTGTGCTGAAGCCTCCCTTTGTTTTCATATAATTTTTTTGAAGCCCAGCTGAGATTCAGTGGCTTGTTACTACATTTCCTAAGTAAAGAGGAACACTGAAAAATTTATACAAGACCTCTAAAGAGAAATAAAGAGTTTGGTCCTCCAGAGCTGGCAGCCAGAGGTATGTAGGTTTCTAGTTTAAATAGCTAAGGAAGGCCATAATGACATTATCAGTATCGAGATAAAGCAAGAATAAAGCTGGCTGACAGTATGAATGTAACAAAGAAAACCTCGTTTGAAGTAATAAGGCACGTGTGTGTGCACACAGAATTTTAAGCAAACTCTGAATGCTCAGGTTTGGTTAAATGCCTGGCTTCAGCCAAGGCACAGCACTAATGCAAGTAAGAATAAAGCACAGGAGCAGCACAGCTGTGATGTATATAGATGAAATAATGTTGTTTTTCTGTGAGCCACTGTAATTCTGAAGCACTTACAGTTGAAAACTACAGTAAAACCAGGCCAGCTACTTACTTTTTTTGGCTTCCTCCAGTTTGTCCTTGGCACGTTTTTCTGCCTGCAAAAGCTGCTGGATTCCCTGAGACTGGCTGGTCATGCTGATTGCCAAGGCTGGTGCACTTCTGTGGGGACTGGAGCTCGGAGGGAGTTTTATACAGCCGCCAGGCTCTTCTCTGTGCTTTTTGTTCTGCCTGTGATTACTACAGCCTTCCAGACTGCACCGACCCAGCCGGCTCTGCCTGGATTGCTGCTGGGCGAAAAGGCCTGCTAGTGCAATCAGAAAAACACAGCAGAGAGGTTGAAAGGAGTGTTCTGCCCTCCTCAGGGTCACAGAACAGCTGAAGTGTCCAATTAACACATTGGGGGAAAAAGAGAAGAGCACTCCAAATGGCTTGTAGTTTAATGGTTTGTTTTGTATTTTCATTTTTAATCTTTTATTGCTGAAGCAGAATATGGTTAATCTTTTCAGAGGAAGTGAGAAAAAAAGCATTGCTTCTTGGAATTTCCTTTTAATAAAACTTCCCCTGTATGTGAAGAATCAGGCTTGGTCAAGAAGTAGTTTTGGTTGAACACAGTGAACTGGTTGTAGGCTTCTGTTTAGTGTTACTTCTTGACATTATCTGTTAGAGATTTAAATTTGAAAAAAGGATCTTAATTGGAAATGAATTCATCAGGGACCAAATTTTAAAAAAGCATATGGTGGTTGAGGTGTGCTTTGTGTTGTAATCTGCCACGAGGGTGATAAGTGCTGTGATGGGAAACTGAGGGAATGGCTCTAAGATCCAGGCTCTGGGAAGGTATGGCTGGTGGTCTGGGTCTTATGTTCAAGTCCTAACACGCACTACAGTCAAATGAATGCGTGAGCATGGTTGTAGGTGCACATACCATTTCCTATGGTAGGACAGTGTTTTGTGAGCTACTGCATGAATAAGCAGCATGTTTCTATTTTGAATCCTTATTAAAAAACCCCAACAAATCCCACTGTTATGGGTACTTCAGCCATTGCACAGGATATGTCAAGATGCATAATGAAAATAGTGTTGTTTGTTTTTTTATAAATATGTCATAACATGAGTAAGGCATCTTTATTCCAAGTTCTCCTGGCACAGCTATGTCAGGACCAAAGATTACTTTTTGATGTAAATGGGTTTTTCTGGCTGCAATTATATATAGACAGATATATGTTTATACATGTATGTATATAGGTATTATTTTTGTATCTATATTGTAAAATATGTATATATAAAAATGATATGGCTCTCTCTGGTAATGGCACTTGCTGTAGGGTCTTTTCTTTTCTGGAGCTTCCTAGGGTGGCTGTGCCATGCTACTTGCTGCAAGGCTGTTACCTGGTCCTTATGAGGAAATGTGTACTGATGTTATGGAGTTGTTGTTTGTTTGTGGTTTTTTTTTCCCCAAATCTCCGCAGGCTTGAGGGAGAATGGAGGAAGAAGCCTCTTGCCCTATTACTGTCTTCAGCTGTGCTCTGAGTGACGGTAGCACTGAGACTTTGAAGAGGAAGTTGTTTTGTTTTCAGACTTGTAATATCATGGAATCAAATTCCACTCAGGCTCTCTCTCGGGAAAACGCCTGTTTCTTACAGCGTATTAGGCGCAGAGTTTCTTCCTTCATCCAGAAACTGTGCGAGATACCTCCTCATCTCCAGCAGTGAAATTCGAGGTCTGTTCTAGCTGCAATAGAGCAGACATGGCACTATTTTTAGAAGATTTTAATGCATAGCCTTGAAGTTTATTTTATTCAGACATAGAAGAGGAAGCGATGATCAATTATACAAAAAATGTGGAAAACTGTAGGGTTAGGAAGCCTGTTGTGCCACTGGGGCTCTGCTCCAAATGATCTGACTGGCAAAGAAAAGCAGAACTGGAAAATGAAAGTAAAAAATGAAGAGATTTGGTTTACTTGGGGCAGGAAACCTGGACTCGGAACTTTAAAGCAATAGTTACTTAAAAATTAAATAAGAAGTGGAAATGTCAGGCTTGTCTCGGATATCCAGGCAAAGGGTCTTGTCAAGCAAATCTTATTTCTGCAAGAAATGTAACAAAACTGCTAGCAAACTAGCAGAGTTTCAGAGTTTGTAGGCTTGGCTGAAAGCATCAGACCCTTTGATTTTTCAGAGCTGTTCTCAATGCTGTAATTACGTTACATGGGCCTCAGTAATAATCTGAAATTTTATATTTACAGTCTGTTAATTTTGTTTAATATTTTACAGAAAATAGTTGTACGTGATGAATTTTTATGGAAAAAAAATCCACCACTGAACAAATTACAAAGATCTTCCATTGTTAAAAATTAATATATTTCTTAAGCAGATCATTTGAGCTGCAGATGTCACAGTTCACGTTTCCATGTTTTTCTCAACAAAAAGAAATATCTCAGTTTATAACTTTCTTGTATTTAGCTCATATACAGTGTGGAGGCGTGCCATACTGGCACATCTCATGGCATCAGACAGGTATACCTCTGCAGGGGAGGATATGATAATTTATGTTGGCCAGTGCCTATACACATTTTGTTAAACTCCACACAAAGTACTGCTACTTAGAACTAATTTCAAAGGTTGTCTGATGATGACAGTGATGATCTCAGACTATGCTGACATGGGACCTCTGTGTAGCCCACTTCATGGATAATTCATTAAAATAAAGTAGGTTAAGCCACCAACTGACCAAACAGGCTCCTACTTCATCACACAAGCTAATAAGAAACTCCTGTGTCACAGTCACTGGTTTTCTTTCCAAGTCAGCTCCAGACTCATTTAATTAGAGAAGAGAAGCTGATGTGGTGAGTGGTGATGGCGGGGAGGAGAGGTGTTACCAGAGGGAGAGAGGACAGACATGAGTTTGGTTTGTTGGTTCCTTGGGGGTTTTTAAGACTCCTCCCTTTTCTTCCCAGCATCTTATCCAGCTCTCTTAGTTCTCAGAATTTCCTGAGCACTTTCTGGTTATCCCTACTGACAGCAAGGGAAAAAAGGGACTTGGTTCTGGCATTCTCACTTCCCCAAAAGCAAGGCCATGGAGCAAGGAAATGTAGAGTCTTACAAAGGATGAGAGACCCTGCTGAGTTCCCTCTGCTCATTCACAGCTTAACCAGCAGAAACACTTTAAATCAGGCATTTCTAGTTTAGACAGAGGCTGTGCCACTGCTGTCCTCTCTCTGCAGCAGGAAGGTCAGGCCCAGTGGGTAAATTCACCCTAGGTAGTTCAGATTATTTTATTTGGAAAAAAATCTGCTTGCTGTTACTCAGATTGAGCCTTACTTAGTATGAATATAACAACTTCTCAGTCTGTCTACCACTAAGCAGCAAAAGCAGTGCTCTGGCATCCTTTTATTGTGGTTTAAGTGTGCCCAGGCTCTCCCGTATGTAGGAGGGCAGCAGGCAGAGTTTCCACTGAAACGTGTTTAAGTTGAAGGTCTCCCATGCATTGTCTCTGTGGCTGTATTTCCCAAAGCACACACATTTTTTTAAATCACTTTTTTATTATAAAAAAATATTCTTTCCAAGTGAGCTGCTATGACTACTAAGCAGTATGCTTTGTTCAGGCTACAGCTTCAAAGCAACGACATTGATTCGATGATAAAAAGTTAAGCACGGCAGGCGGGGCAGCTGGTGGGGATGCTTTTGTGTGTCAGTGTGTGCCTGTTGTTTTGTTGCTCTAGAAAGGCCTAAGTAAGGGTGCACATCTGCACAGCTTCCTACATCACGATGGGGACTCTCTTATGATGAAAATGGAGCACCTTCAAATGGAGTAAGATCTATCATATTGAGGAAGACTACTGGGCTCCTGTCAGCGTTAATGTCAAAAGGTCTTTGTGCATAAATTAAAATGTATGCAGTGAAAACCATGAAACATTTCTCAAAATCGTGGCCCTTTCTCTTTGAATTCAGCAACCATGTTTACTTATATTAAAATAATAGTTATGAACTTTGTACTGAAGTTGCAATTATGTCTGGAAGCTAGGATTCTTGCTACAGCATTTTCTGATGGTGATGTTCTCGCCCTGTTGACATCAGCGGAGTTGACCTCAGCAGGCAGAATTTCACCTAGAGGCCTGAAAAATGTGGGAACAAATAGGTAGGAAAAGATGAATAAATATTAAAATATTGCTAGAGGCGGGTTCCTGCCATACTGTTTGGGTGAGCTTATTGACTGCTGGCCAAGTCTGTCAACACAGTCCCAGCTTCAACTGTCATAGCAGTCTGCCTACCCTATATTAAACATCTACCTGTAAACCAACTCATGTTTTTTCCTAAATTTGGCCTGTGTGTAGATATGAGTAATTATGTTTGCAATTACAGTTGATTTAGCATTCAGAGAAAGCTATTGTGAGTTGCGTATTTAATAATTTTTTGCTAAAAATCTCTTCAACTCCCAGGAGAAAAATTAAGAGAAAACAATGTATCTTTTTGTTTTTCTTTTCCTCACTACCCAAGTGAGAATTCAGATAAAGGAAATAATTAAAAAAGGAAAAAAAAAAGCCATAGTATGTAAAATTTCCTGGTTAATTTATAACTTGACCATCAGTATAGTTGTGATTATTTCCTATTCTCAGTGTATGGTGTGTTCACCCCAGCCAAGTAACCCACCACCCAGCAGATTGCTCAACACACTCCCCCACAATGGCTTGGGGGAGACAATGAAAATAGCAAAAGCGAGAAAACATGTGGATCAAGAGAAAAAGTTTAAAAAGTGAGGGGAAGGAATGGGGGGAGGCGAAGTGGTGCAAAGACGTCGCTCGATGCCTCCCATGAGCAGACCAACGCCCAGCAAGCCTCCAAATAGCGGCTACTTTGGAAAGACCAGACCCCCAGTTTATTGCTGAGCCTGGCATTGCAGGCAATATCCCTTTGGTCAGTTGGGGTTGCTGTCCTGGCTGTGTCCGCTCCCAGCCTCTTGCCCACCCCAGGCTGCTCCTGGGAGGGCAGAGTGAGGAAGAGAGAAAGCCTTGATACCCTGCAAGTGCTGTTCAGTAACACCTAGCCACAGTGAGTTACCAACACTATTTTAGTTACAAGCCCACAATGTGCAGCCTGTGGTGAAGCGATTAACTCCATCCCAGCTAGTTACAGCATGCAAT